ATTCTATGTATGAAGGTAAAAAAAACATGAGCCTTTACAACCACTTTTGTTTTAAAAAAACAAAACCCTCAATACTTACCTGAGCCTCATTTCAATTCAGCGATGTGCACGACAGCCTCGTCTGTTCCAGGCCTCCACCTCCTCATTGGATGAGAAAGTAAGCGGGAACTTTGACTCCCACTGCTCATAATCACAGCAATTCAGTCAATAATGGGGGGAGGGGGAGCTACAGCAATGGGTTCCCCCATAACAAATTGCTTGGGGTAGGGGCACCAGACAGAAAGGAGAAGCCAGGAGAGCCTGTGGGGGACCCAAGAAGAGTAGGATCCGGGCTGCTCTGTGCAAAACAGCTCTACCAAGCAGGTAAGTATAGACATGTTTGTTATCTTACAAATTAAGAAAAAAAAAAAAACCTTTAGTATCACTATAAGCAACTATATGTGCTCACTTCAGTGAAGAATGCATATTAATGGTCTGGACTGGCCTCCTGATGGGGACAACAGTGGATCGTACCTGCACAGTGCCTCAGCTAGCCATTTTAAACTTCCATCAGGGGAGAACGTAACACGGAGTACAAAGAACACAGAGAGATAGTGGTCTCACTAAAACAGGAAGTGTCTCAAGGACCTTCATGGTAGGATCACCACGTAATATTTCAAATGGACTTTGCTGCATGGCTATAGGTGGCTTAGTGATATCCACATTGTACTGGAGTGATATTTTTAAAAAGCACTACATTTACATTGTGTATACACACACACACACACACACACACACACACGTCTGTGACAGCACAGAGCAAAATCAGACTGGCTCTGTGCCTTGTGATCACTATAATGGCCAATCACAGCTATCTGAAATGTAAACAGTACCACAATTTACATTTGAGAGCCCTCCCCTTCCTCTCACAATGGAGGAAGGGGATGAAAGAGAATCCATTAATTCATTCTCATATATTTAGGTAAGCAGAAGCAGTTTCCAGGTGGGGGGGGGGGGGGGCAAGGGCTAGGTTAATAAATGTTATTGTGAGAATTTTTAAAGCCCCCTCCCCTCCATCCAGTCTGTGCATCCTGTATTTTACCACCTTTACCTCCCTTATCCAGCACATTAACCCCCACAGTACATGACCTGTACATTAACCCCTTCTCATCCTCCCTCTGTTTAGGGCCTATACATGAACCCCTTTTACCACTTCCTCCCTTTTTTGTATAACCGGTATATTATTAATATGCGGCCTCTAGTGCACGATTACCAAGATCTAGGTTTTAACCAGTTCAATACCAGCATGTTTCTTAATTTCCAAATAAATGTTATAAAAATGAGATCATGAGTCCTTGGGTTGTCCATTTTAAAAAAAATTGAGGGCATTTCTACTGCCCTGGCATTTTTATTATGTTTTATAACCAAGTAAGGGTGAAAAAATTGGGGCATTTGTCCAGAAAAAGAAAAAAAAAACAAAAAAAAAAAAAACGGGTTATTAAATAGAACAAAATAACCTCTGCCTCAGAAAATGGTATTAAAAAGTATTTGGATAGTGTTACATGATGCAGTAATTGTCAGTCAAACTATCACACAGCTGAAATACAGCCTGGTAATGAAGTAGTTTTACATGCTGGTATTTTAATAGGCTAATGAAGGCTGCAGATTTAAAAAGATTAAAAAACTACCTCTGAAAGAACATTATTATAAGAAAACTTATAGGAGATTTTAGCTATATGGGTTTAAATACACTTTGAGTGCTATTTTTTCGGTGACTAATATGCAGATTAAACGTTTTAGCAATAGTTTAATACGGGAGTAGCACCACATAAGGCTCTGTCACTGCAGACCACTGTATTTTCTGATAATGAGGGAAAAAGCAAAAAAGTCAAACTACTATTGTTCCATTCTTAATACCTGTCACTGCAAACCTTCCTCTGAAACTTCACCTTATCCATCATCGGCCCTAGAGTGATGTCTGAGAAACCACAATGGCTTTCAGCCAGCTATCCATGTAGAAGAAAGGATTATCTTTATAGATGTCATACATAACCTTTTAAAAGCAAAAGCTTCCAAAACAACCCGAGGTTTTAAACTTAGGAAAGCAAGACAAAAAACACCAAAACCATACCAATGGCATCAAGTATTCAACAGAGCCAGGGAACCTTAAAGAGCCAGACCACTGAAGGTGGACATGTCAGCTATGGATACATTCCAAATAAACAAACCCCCCCCCTCCACTTAATTATTGCTTTCTGATGCAGTCTTTACAAGGGGGTCTCACTCTCTTATTTTCATTTTACACTACAAGGAATGTAGCAGGATAATAGACTGCTTGGTTGAGTGGGGACATCACAGCTGGACTCTGCAGGAATTTGAGATGCATCTCAGATGCTTCAATTCCTGACAAACACTTAGTCTCTCAAAAGGTGCTTCTGACCTGCTTTTAGGCTGCATTTTCACTGTGTTCAGTATGGTGAGAAAACCAAATGCCCCAGAGCATAAGCCCTTAAGGCTCTAAAGAAAGATTCAGTCTACGAGCATCCACTCATAAATCCAAAAACCTGACAGATTTTTAGGTCAGTTAAGTTTCTCCAACATACAGTATCATATAAATACCTTGTTAATGGGATTACGGATCATTTAAAAGTAACCTCTGAGCACGGCAATTAGAAGAAAAAGGAGAAGGGTTTGCAAACTGGTGGTCATGAACATAAAGCCATGCAACCCAACATTTTCGACACCAGAGAGTGCTCATCTGGCATTAAAAATTGATGCTGAGCATTCCATAAAAATGCAAGCTGAGCACCTCAGTTTATTCCTTGTGTATAGAAGGCTTTACTGCACATTAGATATCTGCAAAGCAGTAGCTGCTGTTATCGCTGCTAGGTCAAACCAGCCGCTCTCAACCTTTTTTTTTTTTTTTTTACCCTTGAAATGACTTTCAGGTCCCAGGCAACTCTTGCCAAAAATACTATATCCACTGCTCCCAGGACACTAGTGTGGTGGTCAGTGGAAAGAACACTCCTTACATTGGTGGCCACTAGGAAGAATCTCTTCCCCCTTATTGACTACTAAAAACAGAATTGTTTTGGTAACTTACCTGAGAGGTAAAGATTGTTTTTTGCTCAAGGAACCCCTTGCAACCTCTGGAGGAACCCTAGGGTTCCACGAAATCCTAGTTAAGAAGGCTGGATCAAACAATTCGGGTCCAAGCACATTGGGCTTAAAAATCAAACAGTTTCTATAGGAGTTTTGTATTTTGACTGTAGAAGCAGCTCAATGTTAACCCATGGGTCCATGCACATTAGGACGTTTAGGAGGGCATATTTTAAAATCAGCGTTTATTGTTTTTCTTGCCAAAAAACTCATCCAAAAACGCAAAGAGGGTTTTTTTTTTTCTGCCTCTAAAACGTGTCTAAAAGCATGTACAAAAACGCTCTATATGAGTGTCTTTTTCTGCCAAGGGAACTGGCGTTTTTTTAAGCCCAATGTAATGTAAAAAGAACGTGATCATCCCATGTTCGCAGTTTATCTTGTTTTTAAGATGACTGAGCCAGTGACATATCCGCATAAGCATCAAGTGTACCAACTGTGTCACTTCAGTTAGCTGCCAACAGCTGTAATTAACCACAACCTTAATTCACAAAGCCTTAACACCAGTCAAAGGGCTCATATTGAGGGGCGTTGTCTACCTCAGTTTTCAAACATCAAACACAGGTCAGCAAAACACCATCGACTTTATTTGAGAAGTACACATAGAAGGTTAGAGAAATGCTTCGCATTTCTTTGGATGCAGCATGTTCTATTAAGGTGCATTTTAAAAAAAATGCCATATTTGACCTGCTTTGCGTGGGTTCAAAACGCTTCATTTTCCAGCTGCATACATTCAAAATGTAAATGCAGCATCTGACGCCCGTATAGAACATCCATTGACATGTAACCTAAGGAACCCTATTTTCAAACAAACTTTATTGCACTCAACATAACCCACTTTAAAAAAATACTTTTCTTAGTTATTAGTTTTGTGAATTGAGCTTTTTGTGCTCACTTATTATTCTTGTAATTTCATCTACAGGACAAAATTTATTTTTTTTCCACATATAGAGCCTTGAGATCGAGTATATTTAAAATGGGGCATCTGCAGCCAAAACCATAGAAACTACATATCCCAGCACAACCTGCCAGCATACATCTTGCATGGAAGTGACTGCTAGAACACAGGAGGTTCAAACTTGATATACAAAGCATGCCTATTTATGATTTGTATGACTATTGTAAAATATGACTTAGAATTTGGCTCCTGAAAACTGTCAGGAATGAAGGAAGGCATGGACTATGAATATGGAGCAATATGGACAAGTACCATGAGGCTTTTTCATTGATATTCTCTACCTATTCAGGACAACAAATTCCAGCCTTCTCTACAAAGACACAACTCAGATGGCTGTATGTGCCTATATCCTTTCACAATTTTATATATATATATATATATATATATATATATATATATATATATATATATATATATATATATATATATATATATATATACACATACATATACATACATACACACACACACACATACACACATACATACATACACTCTCTCTCTCTGCTTCGGAACTAGTAATGGGAAAATTGTGTATCCCCACACCTGGGAGTCAGGGCAAATGCAAGTTAATGCAATCATGTTCTTGGAAAAGCTGAGAAGCAGCAGATTATTTTACTGCTTGATTTTTCATCTCAAAACCACCTGAGCATCCCCGGGACATTATTGCAGAAATATATTAGCAACATGGGCCTGTCAGTTATGCACTTGAGTGACATTTTTAATTTATGTGCTGCTGACCCCTCTCGGGAGGGATTTATTTATTTGGTGCTTAAGAAAATAAAGCATTAAAATGGGAATTCAAAAACTGCGCACTTTCAATTCTGACAAGCTTTTGGGGGGTTAGTTAAGCAATTTTGTAAGGCTTCCAAAAACTGACACAACTTGCAAGGGCAATGCATCTTACCGTGGCGTCCTGTCTGCTCTCGCCGCTCTCCTCTCTTTCCATTGGCGCTCTGTCTTGTCCTGCAGGTTGGAGGAGGTTTTCAAGTGAGCTGGAGTGTTCCAGGTTGGTCTCCGATCCCTTCATCACGTCGGGGTCGTCCTTTACAGCAACGGTACCAGACATCCTCATTGGAAAAGGTCACGTTAGAACTTTAAAGGGTATACAGAACCTTTGAAAGGAGTTTGGAAAAAAACAAGAGGGGGGGGGGGGGGGGGGGGGGACGACAAAAATGGATTACTATGCATGGCTCCAAAATATTTCGCAGTCTGAATTGGGTATTTTGTAATACATATCTATCTACATATATATTAATCGGGGAATGCGTAAATGATCCCCTTTGGTGCAGAATGTATTAGCATTAGAATAGTATAGTAACTTGATAAAGATGTAACGGCTGGGATATAATGAGGTAAGCAGCATGTTTATACTAAATACAGACCGACAGGCTGCAAGGAAAATATCAAAATCAATATATTTAAATTTTAAAGTACATAAATGCTTTACTACTTGAAAGCAATCAACATCTACATTTTTTTCTATGCAACACAAAATATAATGTAATTTCCCTTCATATACATATTATCAAATAACACAAAATTTGGTCATCGCCCTTCTAATTTTTTTATTTTTGTAGCAATTCAGAATCCAGGATTAGAACGAATTTTGAGGACACCAAGTTATTTTTTTTTCAACAAAATATAATTGAATAAAAAAGGAAAAAAAAAAAAACCACACACAAAGAGAATGCATTCTTCATATTTAAATATTGCAGATTTCAATACATCCAACAATTATTAATCTCTACAATATTTATTGTTTATATCCCCCTTTACAATTAGAGACTTTTTAGTTTATTGGATGTTATTTTGTTTTATACAAATATTTTAGCAGCATTAAAAGACAGCCACAGGACACATGGTCTTACTAATTTTATATATTTATTATTTGCTTTAATATTATTATATTTTTGTTGTTGAAAATGAGCTATGATAATGGAATTAAATAAATAGTCATACATATAGTGACACACACACACCTTCCACCTCACTATATCTACACTGCATTCCAGCAGATCTGCTGCTGCTTTAACAGAATAGTTAAATATTTAATTGCATTTACTGCAATCATATCCCCGTTTGCATGTTCAAAGCCATCACTTCGCCCTGCTGCACTGACACCAAATTAAATGCAAATAAGTTTTCCCCCCACATTTCAGGCACTATAATTCAGAAAAATAGGGGGTTGGCTTTAATTGTTTTCATGAAGTGTCAGCCGGGATTCTAAACATAGACTCGAACAATAGACCGGTTCCTGTTACCATGGGAACAAGAGAGGAGAAGCATTTGCTGCAGCCTTAAAAAAAAAAAAAAAAAAAATGCTATACAGGTACAGGGAACAAAAGACTAGTTCCCTGGCATACATAGAAATGTATAATCCCAGGAACGTGCCCTTACAGACAGACAATGGATTGAGCACATCAGTCACTGCCTCCTTTGCCATTATCATAAATAATAGAGGCAAAGCAGACCGAAAAGTTGACATAACAGCGGATGGCTGGTTTTACAGTCGCTGACCTCAACTTGATCTTTGTCAGGTCACCAGTGTGCTCCCACAACAGGGTATAATAAAGATGATGTAGCTGTGAAACAAAAACATGCTTCTGTTGGCCCCACTGTTTAGATTGCAAGCTTCTTGGAGCATGGTCGCAATAGGCTGCTGCACTCTCAAAAACACACGTTTACCCTACTGGCCGGCAAAAATCGTAAAGAAAACGCTACATTGTGGGTAACAGCGATGGTAAGCATATAAAAAGATTTAACATATTTCTATCAACATTTGTTTGTATACTCACACACAGGTGTGTGTAAGATAAACTATGCACCAAGTACAATTGTCAGCAGATAGATCAATCAATTAATATATCAATCTATGTCCCCACCAATATTCCTTTCCTACTGCCAAATGGGAGATGGACACAAAGATGGTGATGAATAGATAGATCGGAAGGACCGATAGATAGATCGGAAGGACCGATAGATAGATCGGAAGGACGATAGATAGATCGGAAGGACCGATAGATAGATCGGAAGGACCGATAGATAGATCGATAGATCGATCGGAAGGACCGATAGATCGATCGGAAGGACCGATAGATCGATCGGGAAGGACCGATAGATCGATCGGAAGGACCGATAGATCGATCGGAAGGACCGATAGATCGATCGGAAGGACCGATAGATCGATCGGAAGGACCGATAGATCGATCGGAAGGACCGATAGATCGATCGGAAGGACCGATAGATCGATCGGAAGGACCGATAGATCGATCGGAAGGACCGATAGATCGATCGGAAGGACCGATAGATAGATCGATAGATCGGAAGGATAGATCGATAGATCGGAAGGATAGATAGATAGATCGGAAGGATAGATAGATAGATCGGAAGGATAGATAGATAGATAGATCGGAAGGATAGATAGATAGATAGATCGGAAGGATAGATAGATAGATAGATCGGAAGGATAGATAGATAGATCGGAAGGATAGATAGATAGATAGATAGATCGGAAGGAAGATAGATAGATAGATAGATCGGAAGGATAGATAGATAGATAGATAGATCGGAAGGATAGATAGATAGATAGATAGATCGGAAGGATAGATAGATAGAAGGATAGATAGATAGGAAGGATAGATAGATCGGAAGGATAGATAGATAGGAAGGATAGATAGATAGAAGGATAGATAGATAGGAAGGATAGATAGATAGGAAGGATAGATAGATAGGAAGGATAGATAGATAGGAAGATAGATAGATAGGATAGATAGATCGGAAGGATAGATAGATAGGAAGGATAGATAGATAGGAAGGATAGATAGATAGGAAGGATAGATAGATAGGAAGGATAGATACGATAGATACCCCCATTTTTATTTCCTACTGTCAAAGAGAGAAGGGAAGATAGAAGGATAAAGGTGGATGGATAGAGCTAGATGGCGATGGATGGATCGAGAGATATCCCAACCAATTTTTAATTCCTACTGCCAAAGGCAGATGGATAGAGCTGGATGGTGAGAGATGGATAGAGAGATTGGCAGAGAGATGGATGGATGTCCCTACTAATTTTTTTATTTCCTATTACCAAAGAGAGATAGAAATGGATAGACAAATAGAGAGACGGGCAGAGAGATGGATGGAGAGATAGATGTACCCAGAAATGTTTGTTTCCTATTTCCAAAAAGAGATGGGCAGAGAGATGAACAGACCCAACAATTTTTCTCATTCCTCAAACAGTTAACTGTTCCTTGTAGTAATAATAAAAAAGGACCAAAAGGGCAAAGAGGTTGCCCAAAGTAAAGAAACCCTCCAACTAAAAGCAGATTCCACTTTACATTGGCTAATATGGTAGACACTCATATAAGGTGATGCCCGATTAGTTTACTACTGCATTCTCTACACTGTTCTCCGACCAGTTAAAAATAAAGCTTGCTTGGGAGATGGCATATTGGAGATACATTTAGCAATAAGATCTGCTAAGTAAAACATTTAGAGTTTAGGGCTTCCGAATCAAGAGATATCGGTAAACTGGGCTGCAATGTCTTGAATACATTAAAGCTGTATTTGGGAGGGGGAAGGGGGATAATAAACTCACCACCCACCTAACCAACTCTATAATATTCCTACCTCATTTGAGCAGTGCTCTACTCAATGACTAAGTGAAAGGGCTTGGTGATCCTTTTCATAAATACAAATCTTAAAGAAGGTAAAGGAAAAGACAAAAAAAAAAAAAAAAAGAAAAAAAAAAAAAAAAAAAAAAAAACTTAAAATGGTTGGATTGGCACCTTTAAAAACCAATTCCATTCCTGCATTTTACTTAAGTTAAACATGTCCAGCTGGCTCACCAAATAATCTAAGCTGCAATCTGCATAGTAGAAGCCAAAATCCTTTTATTTAATAAATTTAAAAAAAATGTAATTGGACTCTATTCAAAGGCTGTTATTTATCAGATGAGATCTTGGCGCCTGGGATGCCTTACCCGTCAAAGCTGCTCACCAATTAGTGAGACCTTCTAAGGTGACCTCATTACAGGAGGTAGCCAATTACATGACACTTCCCCCCCCTCTACGCCAAGTCAAGGGGGAAAAAAAAAATATATATATGACCAACACCCTGGGTGATGGCAAGGTCATGAAACCTGTAAGGTATTTTTTCATTTTTAATTATGATATGATATCAAAGCCTAGGCAACATAAGGTCATGGAACAAGATAGCCATGATAGTGTTTGTGTGCCCCATTATGGAACAGTAAGACTTGTAGTTCTACATTAATCCTAAAATTAAAAATGATACCCCACATCGACAAAACATTTTATCTCAAGAAATTCATGCTAAACATCCAACAAACCAGAAGATTGGGCTGACAACCGCCAAATTAATACATTGTTAACCAGGGGCTGAAATGCGATTGGATATTTTGCCTTTTGGCACCAACTGCGGGGCAGGGTGGGAGAATTTACCTGACGTGTCTTACGGTTACAAATATGTGACGTCCCAGAGCAACGAAGAGAAATTTTCTCAGGTTCCTTCCCACCGAGATTAAGCAGGATGTCAGTTGTAATGAACCATCTGGAAAGTGACAGAAGCCGTCCCATGTCCCTGTCACCAGTGGAAGGTCCTGGGATGGGTCACGCTGCTGGAGGTCAACTGCAGCATTGCCCGCACCAACCTGGAGACAAGACAAATCTTGTTTGCAGAGATCTATAGATACATGTTCCATTATAACCAAACACTCTGCATTCAACCAGAAAACCAGACCACACAACATTCTCATTTTTTCCTCTCTCTCTGCAAACTACACGGCACGTTATGTGCATTTATGCAATAAAACTGCTTCCTGCCAAGACTATCTGCCAAAAAGATTTGGAAACATCGTGTGAAAACAAGCCTGGGCTTTGGCAATTCTTTGCATTTTAATCATTTTTTTAACACTGGGACATTAATATAGGAAAATGAGACAGCAAGCAAAAATTATCAAAGACGTCTGGGGCAACTAAACATTTCAGACTTATAATTCGTTAAAATAAGGGTGTGCAAGGAGCAGTAACACTTACCAAATGGGTTTTGCTT